TGACATCATGATCTGCCCACCTCAGCCTCCGAAAGTGCTGGGGTTACAGGCATGAGCCACTATGCACAGCCATTAATTATTTATTTATATAGGGGCAGAATTTCACTCTGACACCCAGGCTGGTGTGCAGTGGCACAGTCATGGCTCACAGCAACCTTCAATTCCTAGGTATCCATGAAAGCCTCCCAAGTAGTGGAGACTGTAGTGGATCATACCACCACATCCAGGCTGCTTTTTAAAATTTCTCGTAGAGATGGGGTTTTGTTATGTTGTCCAGCCTGGTCTGAACTCTGGCACTCAAGTGATCCTCCTGCCTTGGCCTCCCAAAGTGCTGGGATAAGCATGAACCACTGTACTCAGCCAGCAACTTATTTTTAAATTGTAACTCCAGGACACTAGGGTATACTTGGGCTTTCTATGATAGGAATGTAAGAAAATTCAAGGATGCAAACGTGGTAACTTTAATCAGTTTTCAGTGAACAGTCATTCACTATGAAGATGATAGGCTATAATTACACATTGTCTTATATAATCTCAATACACAAAATAGCTATGTTACAGAACTTAATAATTAATGTTTATACTTAGTGGTAGTTATCAAATTATTTTATGTAAGTTTTTTTACAGGTTCTTTGTAATTCACCATTATTAAGACATATACTTAGAATTGTTTCCTCTGTCCTAAAGGTTCAGAATAATGTCCTAACCTTCTCTTCTAGCCTAAGCTGTTGTTAAGCCTCTTTCCTTGCACACCTCAAATTACTTGCCTTTCTCTGATTTTCTGTGCAGTAGCAACGCTACCCCTAAAGTCCTTCCTCTATTATTCTGTTGCTTTAAAGCCCCAGGAAACTTCACTTCATCCATAAAAGCTCCCAGATCCCCCCAGGAACGATTCATCATCTTTGCACCCATATCCCTATATCATTTGCCCAAAGCTTCTTTTATGCTATTTATTAATAATATATAGTACTCATTGCAGCGTTTTGAGGACTAGAATTGAATTTTGTTTATTCTTATTTTGCTTTGCTTTAGTCTTTCCTAATGCCTAGAAGAGTGACTTGAACAAAATAGATGTTTCATATTTTCATTGCATGAGTAAAGGAGTGTTGGTGTATAACTGTTGATCATCTCCAGCCAACAGTAGCCAATGGCACTTATTACTGAGATAATTAACTGGAATGCAGCTTATGGCCAGGAAAGAGTATCTTCACTGTGAATATAGCTCAAAATAATCAAATCTATGATTTTAAATGTTAAGACCATGATCCAAATAAAAGAACTATCCATGTGTGAAGTTCATACAAAGGACTGATCATCTTGAATCTAAAGGAAAATTCATAAAATTGTATCGTGAATATCAAGTGGTAGATAGAAATGATATTCTGTCAGTTTTCTTAAAATAACTGAACAATCACATGAACATACCTTTTCTGAAAATACTCATTAAATATTAAATCATCAAGGGCTTGAAACTAAACTTCATTTGATGCTCACCAAGAAGACATTAAACAAAACATGACAAACTGAGTAACAATTTCAATTTCTATAGACTTTTTAAGAGTCTTTTTGATTACACAAGGTCAGCCGCCTCATAAAATTCTATTAGACCTCTTTGGGCTTTCTATATTGCCTCCATCTAAAGGTGGAGGCAATTTCTCAGCCTAGACTTTTACAAAGCCTGTCGACTGTTTGTCTTTTGTATTTTCTAAGTGCCTGATAATTAAATTTTCAATGTAATGGTAATAAGAGAGGCAGAAGTAGAATTATCTATAAAAACCAAAACTAAGGTGAAAACCAACCATGAACCATAATTCTCAAGTCTCTGTCTATACTCCTAAGCCTTTACCTGGGTTCTAGAAGAAAATCCTCACCTACTTACTACACATTTCTACTCTAACTACATCAAGGTCGCCATGCCCAGATGACACTCTCTGAAAGTAGCCCTCCTTCTCCATCCAATTTCCTCGCAGAATTTACTTAGAGGCAGGATTTCACTCTGACATCCAGGCTGGCGTGCAGTGGCATGATTATGGCTCATACCAGTCTTGAATTCCTTGGTATTCGTGAAAGCCTCCCAAGCAGTTGGTCATGTCATCACACTCAACTAATTGGTTAATTAGTTCATTATTCTCTCAGTCACTGAGGGCATATATGATGGTAGTTTTGACCTTTTCATTTTCTGCCACATAATTGTAAGGGTTCATTCTTCAAAAGGTCTCTTTATTTTATTTATTATTTTTATTCATTTATTTATTTATTTTTGAGACAGAGTCTTGCTCTTGTCGCCCAGGCTAGAGTGCAATGCATGATCTTGGCTCACTGCAACCTCCACCTCCCGTGTTCAAGCGATTCTCCTGCCTCAGCCTCCCGAGTAGGTGGGATTACAGGCATGCACCACCACACACAGCTAATTTTGTATTTTTAGTAGAGACGGGGTTTCTCCATGTTGGTCAGGCTGGTCTCAAACTCCTGACCTCAGGTGATCCATCCGCCTCAGCCTCCCAAAGTGTTGGGATTACAGGTATGAACCACTGTGCCCAGCCAAAAGGTCTGTTTCTACAGTAAACCTATCTTGCTCCCATGTAGCCAGCATCATTTCCTTTGGGAAACTACCCCTTTCTGATTTGAAATGAGGTTGTCAAGCACAGTATCTCACCCCATCCCCAGTGAGAAACCAGCATGTGACCTGTGGCCTGTCAGTTCAGTGTCTCATCCCTTTGGTAAATGCCATTGGTCAAAGGGGTAGGTTTATACTGCAGTGGGACCAATCAGAACTCCCATCTTGAAATTCATAATTAGATATTAGAATAAATGCTTTCTCTACTAGAATTGCTAATCTAGGAATAAGTGAATTTGCAACTACCAGCAGCATCTTCCCAGCTATATGTGGGGAATCTATTTAGAGTAGAAAGAGATCAAACCAGAGAAGGCATGAGAGCCAATATGGAAAGACAGAGAGTTTTGACATTATTGAGTCCCTGGAGCCAGACAGGCTCAAAGTCTACGCCATCCCTGGAATTACCGGTCAAATGAGTCAAATTTCAAAATTCAGACTCTACAAGCTACTAACCTTTCTGTGCCTCACTTACCTCATCTATAAAATGGAAGGTACGTTAGTACCTACCTCACAGAGTTACATGAGAATTAACATTGCAAATGTTCAATAAATATGAGCAATAACCATTAAGTGCCAGGTTTTTGTTTTGTTTTGTTTTGTTTTTTGAGACAGAGTCTCTCTCTGTTGCCTAGGCTGGAGTGTAGTAGCATGGTCTTGGCTCACTGAAACCTCCACCTCCTAGGTTCAAGTGATTCTCCTGCCTCAGGAGCCTCCTGAGTAGCTGGTATTACAGGCACAAGCCACCATGCTCAGCTAAGTTTTTGTATTTTTAGTAGAGACGGGGTTTCACCATGTTGGCCAGGCTGGTCTTGAACTCCTCGTGATCCACTCCCCTTGGCCTCCCAAAGCACTGGGATTACAGGCATGAGCCACTGTGCCCTGCCGCCAGTGAATTCTAATGTTATTTGATCTACTTTGAATTGGGGTCTTGTCACAGCAGAAAGAGTACAGATAAGAGGGCTTCGATTTTAAAAACATGCTTGGAGGTCATTCTTCCCCTGCCTTTGCGTTATCATCACCCCCATGAGATTCCTGGAGCAACATTTCAGCTGACTTGTCTGACCACTTCACACTCTACAATCCACCTGAATCACTACTGTCAGGACAATCTGCACTAAGCATCGCTGTCATCATGGAATGTCCTTGCTCCAATTTCTGTTCAGATTCCTCTTCCTGGTTTCCCAGGTCCCACTTTAATTGTCCAATGAACCACGTCTCTCCCAAGCATTCTGGCCAGCCTGATGTCCTGCCTTTTACAAGATCATGCCTTGCCAATTCATGTCCTGCCTTTCCTTCCGTCATCACCCTATCAGCCCATCTTTTTTTCCCTGTAGATAATCAGCTGCAATCATTCCTTGATGCAAGTTCTGCCCGCTCCATATCTCCCTGGCCATTGTGGCTTTCGCTGCTTTTATTCTCCTTTTATTCCAAGTCATCTTAAATTCTGTAACATGCAATCATAGATTAGCCCATATTCAGATGGGTGTAACCCAACTAGAACGTGAAGTTTTTAGGTTAAATTTTTTTTGGCATGTCTCCTAACTCAGCAGTAAGCACACAATCAGCCTCAAAATAAATATTTTGTATAAAGTCCAACCATAACGCTAACCATTCCTTTTTTTTCTTTTCTTTTTTTTTTTTTTTTTTTTTTGAGACGGAGTTTCGCTCTTGTCACCCAGGCTGGAGTGCAATGGCGCGATCTCGGCTCACCGCAACCTCCGCCTCCTGGGTTCAGGCGATTCTCCTGCCTCAGCCTCCTGAGTAGCTGGGATTACAGGCACACGCCACCATACCCAGCTAATTTTTGTATTTTTAGTAGAGACGGGGTTTCACCATGTTGACCAGGATGGTCTCGATCTCTTGACCTCGTGATCCACCCGTCTCGGCCTCCCAAAGTGCTGGGATTACAGGCTTGAGCCACCGCGCCCAGTCTTTTTTCTTTTTTTTTTTTTTTTAAATGAGACCGAGTCCTGCTCTGTCACCCAGGCTGCAGTGCAGTGGTATGATCCCCGCTCACTGCAAACTCCACCTCCTGGGTTCAAGTTATTCTCGTGCCTCAGCCTCCCGAGTAGCAGGCATTACAGATGTGTGCCATCACGCCTGGCTAATTTTTGCATTTTTAGTAGCGACAGGGTTTCACTGTGTTGGCCAGGCTGTCTCGAATTCCTGACCTCAGGTGATCTGCCCGCCTTGGCCTCCCAAAGTGCTGGGATTACAGGTGTGAGCCACTGCACCCAGCCATTCCTGTTACTTAAATTTGGTAGTTTTGAGAGAATTTATTTCAGATTAACATTAACTTTTACTGTAGTTACCTAATCTTAATTCAAAAACTCAATTCTGAGAAGCACCCAACTACTTAAATGACAAAATAAGGCAATAAGGCAATTTTAAGACAGTTACATGTCTTTATTACATAAACATTATAACATTTCTTATAGGAGTTGGTCTTCAGTTTGCTTGCTGCGTTTGCAGAATGTCAAGTATCTATAGAAAATGTCTAATTATTTATGAAACAAACATTCCCCTGTCCCCCCTCCAAAAAATCTCACTTCCTGCAATTCCCAACCAGATTCCTGAGAAAAATAATAGGATTTGTTTATTTTATAGTGCCATACATAAATTTTCTTTCAAGATATAAAAAAGGACAGACTTCTAAAACATGAGTCTCCTTTTGTTTCCAAAGTTTTATAAAAACACATTAAGTATGTTCAAATGTTTGTTCTTTCACTTTATATCCAGTTTACCAGAAACAAAAAACGGCAGTACATCAAGACATGTGAGCCACATTAATCTTGCAGCAATACAATGTCAACATCATCATGAACACCCTGAAGCAGCAGCTCTCCTGGATACGTTACAATCTTCCTTCGTTTTGCGGCTTTGAGAGTTCCTACCAATGCTTCAAAGAGGTTGGCACATTTGTCATCTCGGAAGAGGACCCCAAATTTCACACTTAACTTTCCATCAGCATCTAATTTGAGAAAAGACATTGTTAGCAAATGCAAAGTCTGTTTCTCACCCTCAAGTATGGCATATTTACAAAGTCTTTACTACACTTCTAACGATGGGCTATCCAATATTACAGTTTAACACTTAACAGTCATAAATTCAACATATTCTTGGCTGGGGGTGGTGACTAACACCTGTAATCCCAGCACTTTGGGAGGCCGAGGCAGGTGGATCATCTGAGTTCGAGACCAGCCTGACCGACAACGAGAAATCCCGTCTCTACTAAATATACAAAATTAGCCAGGCGTGGTGGTGCACGCCTGTAATCCCAGCTACTCAGGAGGCTGAGGCAGAAGAATCACTTGAATCTGAAAGGTAGAGGTTGTGGTGAGCTAAGATCGCGCCATTGCTCTCCAGCCTGGGCAACAAAAGTGAAACTCCATCTCAAAAACGAAACAAAACAAACAAACTAACAAAAAAATCACATATTATCTTCCCAGACCCAAAAATTAATGGAATAAATACATGTTATACACCTCTTAGCCTTTGGATTATCCAGAAAAAGACTGAGAACCAAGAAACATTTACAAAAGTTGGATGTGCTACAGTGCTAATACTGCAGATGAATTTATCTCTATTTTTATTAATTTTATGTGTTTTTGAATCAATAAAGACTACAAATAAAAGAGAAAACCAGGATCAAGAGCAGTGCTTCTCTAAGTGTGTTCTGAACACTCAGAATCCCCAGGGTAGGAGTGCGGGTGCCTTAAAAATGCATAATCAACAGTCATTCATCAGGACCACCAAATCTGAATTCCTTGCTAGTAGACTCAGAAATCTGTATTTAATATGAGCCCTAGACTATCTTATTTGGAGGCCAGTTTTGAACATAGACATTGGAAGTTAAGATAGACCAAAAGTGGATCTGCTGTTAAAAATCAATAACCTCGCCGGGCGCGGTGGCTCAAGCCTGTAATCCCAGCACTTTGGGAGGCCGAGGCGGGTGGATCACGAGGTCAAGAGATCGAGACCATCCTGGTCAACATGGTGAAACCCGTCTCTACTATAAATACAAAAAATTAGCTGGGCATGGTGGTGTGTGCCTGTAATCCCAGCTTACTTCAGGAGGCTGAGGCAGGAGAATTGCTTGAACCCAGGAGGTGGAGGTTGTGGTGAGCCGAGATCGCGCCATTGTACTCCAGCCTGGGTAACAAGAGTGAAACTCCGTCTCAAAAAAAAAAAAAAAAAAAAAAAAAGAAAATCAATAACCTGAAAACCTGGAGACAAGAGTAATCTAGGAGACACTTCCCTATTCTTGGGTGATTCCTTGATCACTTGACTGAATCCCTGACCTCTTCCTACCCCTCTACTTCCTTTAGACCCACTGTCAAGAGGATGATCATCCAGTGAGGGGAGAACCATTCCTTGCCCAAAGGTTCTTGAGTTCCCATGCCCAAAGGCTCTTGAGTTCCCATGGCTAGAACTTCCAACTGGATGCTTGGCCAACTCCTACTGTGAGCACAGCACCGTTAGACACTAGAGGCAGATATAAGGAAGTAGAGAATCACTTTCCAGCTTTTAAAGCAATGACTTCGATTCCCATGGAGAAATAAGAAATATACACATAACAAGTAAAGCAACAGTACAAAGCAGTATGTGGTTGGATGCCAAATGAGTAGCAAAGAAAATACATCCTGGCCAAGTGCAGTGGCTCATGCCTGTAATCCCAGCACTTTGGGAAGCCAAGGTCGGAGGATACCTTGAGCCCAGAAGTTTGAGACCAGCCTGAGCAACATAGTGAGACCATGTAAATAGCTGGGTGTGGTGGAGTACACCTGTGATCCCAGCTACTCAGGAGGCTGAGGCAGAGGATTTTTTGAGCTGAGGAGTTCAAGCCTGCAGTGAGCCCCGATCACGCTAGTGCACTTCAGCCTGGGCAACAGAGTGAAACCCTGTCTCAATAAAAAAAGAAGAAAAACACATATATATGTTTCTAAATATATTTTAAATATATATATATTTTACAGTTTGGAGGAGCACAAGACATCTTTGGCAAGAATGGTAAGGAAGACTTCACGGAGGAGGCAGTACCTCTTCCGTACTTTAAAGGAGACAAAAACCTGGAGCTTTTTTCTTTTTCCTCATCTTCATTGTGATGATATACATGGAGCTTTTTGAAAACCTAACAGTCCTCAGTTGAAATCTCTGCCACCTACTAGTTGTCTGGCCTTGGGCGACTTGTTTAAACGTCCCTAAGCCTTGGCTTCCTCTTGTGTAAAATGGGAACCTGAACATCCTCTTCTCAGTGCTGCCAGGAGACACAGCTGGAAAGCACTCAGCACCGTGCCTGGCACACACTGAACACTCAGCACCGTGCCTGGCACACACTGACGCATCAGCACCGTGCCTGGCACACACTGAGCACCCAGCACCGTGCCTGGCACACACTGAGCACCCAGCACCGTGCCTGGTACACACTGAGCATCCAGCACCGTGTCCTGGCACACACTGAACACTCAGCACTGTGCCTGGCACTCACTGAACACCCAGCACCGTGCCTGGCACACACTGAGCACCCAGCACCATGCCTGGCACACACACCTGAGCACACCATCAGTGACCAGGGGCTCTGACGTGACTGAGACAAATGGGGAGCGTGTGCAAAGCCACAGGCAAAGCTGAAAACGAGTAAGGTGGCTAAGGGAACAGTGACCAGCATGAGTAGTTTACTCACCTGAAGTAGATCATCTAAGATGAGAAGGAGGACGAAAGACATTGTAAAGGGAAAACAGGGAATCTGACCATGTTTGGCCTGGAAAGCAAAGATGCAGCTCTTGGATTTTTAAACTTCTACCTGCATGACACGCTGTGTGCCATGGGAACTTGTCACTGATTACAGACAGAAGTGGAGCCTGCTGGTAACCTCAGGCAAGGCCTCCAAGCTCTCTGAGTTTCAGGTATTCATCAAATGAGGGTAAAAATACATCTCACAGGGCTGTTGCGAGGATTAACAGACACAGTAAAGATAAAGCCTTTTCTAGAGTGCCTCAGCATACAGTAAATTCTCAACTTTGATTAAACTTTTTAAAGGCACCAAAGGCAGAAACCTGGGTATAATCTTGGAGTTCTCATGCCCCCTCACCCTCAATCTGACAAATGTTTGGGTGATTCCACCTTCTTTGTGCCTGGTGTAGCTACTGCGTCTCCTCGCCACTGACAGTTAATCTCCTGGTTCAGGCCTAAGTGTTTCTCACCAGCATCACTGTAAGCTGCTAACTGAGAACTCCGTACCAGGCTCCTTTTCTGCATTTTTGCCTCTCAATACATCCTCCACGTGGGTGTGAAAGAAAAAATGTGGAAGAAACTTTATGAGATGCAAAGCTCATTGCTACTCTTCTACTTTAATCCCTCTTTCTTTTTCTTTGAGAAAGGGTCTCAATCTGTTGCCCAGGCTGGGGTGCAGTGGTGTGATCACAGCACACTGCAACCTTGAACTCCTGGACTCAAGAGATGTTCTTGAGCCTTCCAAGCCTCCCACGTAGCTGGGACTACAAGCATGCGCCACCATACCTAATTTATTTTTATTTTTAGTAGAGACGAGGTCTCGAACTCTTGGGCTCAGGCAATCCTCCCACTTCGGTCTCCCAAAGTGCTGGGATTACGGGCATGAGCTACCTCATCAAGTCTACTTTAATATGTCAATGGCTCCCTATAACTTCCTAAATAAAGGAAACTCCATGGCCCCACAGAAGGGGCTCTTCATCCCCTAGCCTTATATCCATCGCTTGCCCGGTCTTCCGCCATGTCACTCTGATCCAGTCACAATGAACTGCTTGCTGTGCCCAAGATGACATGACAGATCCTGCCTTTGTAACACTGCCCATGTTTAGTTGTCTGCCCAGAAACCCAGACATTTTTTCCTAAATTCTTTTTATTCAGGAATGAATTCAAATGCCACCTTTTCTAGAAGTCCTTCATGAGCCCCTCAGTTGAGTGAATAGCTCGTCATATAAAACTGAGTATATAACTATCAAAGCACTCACCATCAATTATAGTATTAATAGCTAACATTTATTGAGTACTTGCTATGATCCTAGAACTGTTCAATGCATTTTACAGTCATTAAAATTCACTTAATCTGTATTTCATGGAAGATAAGACACAATTGATTGTAAGAAGTATCATTATTTTATATTATAATTAAACTGTCAATTTAACCATAGCATGCCATGTACTGTAAGATGCATTTTTATTCTAGATATACATATATATATATTTTTTTTTTTGAGACAGAGTTTCATTCTTATTGCCCAGGCGGGAATGGAATGCTGTGGTCTCGGCTCGCTGTAACCTCTGCCTCCCAGGTTCAAGTGATTCTCCTGCCTCAGCCTCCCAAGTAGCTGGGATTATAGGCACCCACCATGAAGTCCAGCTAATTTTTGTATTTTCAGTAAAGGCAGGGTTTCACCTTGTTGGCCAGGCTGGTCTCGAACTCCTGACCTCAGGCAATCTATGCATCTTGGCCACCCAAAGTGCTGGGATTACAGGCGTGAGCCACTGCACCTGGCCTATTTTAGAGACTTTTTAATATGAAAAATCACTTCCCACTAGGTACTTCCAGTTTGTCTGTCTTTCAGCTACCTAAAGAGGACCCCCACGGACGGAGATGGAATTTTGTTTATTTTTGCATCGCCAGCACTTGAGCACAGAGGGGAAACTCAAGAAATACTTGGTGAATGAAAGAATTTAAATATCCAGGTGATCTCTCTCCGTTTAATCTTTTCTCACTATATGAAAAATGAGACGTTAAAGAATTTGACTTTGAATGAAACAGACAAAACTTAATTCATCAGTTTTCATCTTGGGCTCATACATCATATGTAGATTAAAGCAAAATGACTCGATACTACTTCAATAATTAACCATAACATGTCCAAAGATAACACATCTCTCTATATGCTTTCCAACTCAGTAAGTTATCTTTTGCCAGTAATGAGAAAGTCAAGCTGTTCTGATGAAGCTGCAAAATTAAAAGTTATTTCCATGCTTATAGAAGTTATGATAATTATCTGAAGTCTTCTAATGTGAAAGCTGCTAATTTTGAAGTGTAATTTCAGTTTGCCTTGCCAGAATGATGACACTCTCTTAGCAGGATAAAGATCAGAATTTTAAAACTAATTGAATATGACCAATAAACACTAGGCTGACATGGATAAAGAAAACAAAATCCTACACATCTTTGGAAATATGCCATTAACACCTAGAACGATCCAAACAATAGCAATGCTCAGCCGGGCCTGCTGGCTTATGACTGTAATCCCAGCAAATTGGGAGGCCAAGGCGGGTGGATCACATGAGCAGGAGTTCGAGACCAATCTGGCCAACATGATGAAACCCTGTCTCTACTAAAAATAGAAAAATTAGCCACGCATGGTGGTGGATACCTGTAATCCCAGCTACTCAGAAAGCTAAGGCAGGAGAATCACTTGAACCTGAGAGGCGGAGATTGCAGTGAGCCAAGATCGCGCCACTGCACTCTAGCCTGGGCGACAGAGCAAGACTCTGTCTCAAACAAAAAAAAAAAAAAAAAAAGGAAAAAAAAATAATGCTGCCAAGAGTGAGATGACCTCACTGAGCTCAGGAAGAATCAGGAACATGGGAGGAGGAACCCAAGGAAGGGCATCACTATTGAAAATAAGACTCATCAGGCCTCCATCAAGTGGATGTGGTGAAGACGGTGAGAGAAAAACTGAGTTAGGGAAGATTGTTGATTTGTTTGATTAGGAAACTAAATATATTATGGCCAGACGAAATGGCTCATGCCTGTAATCCTAGCACTTTGGGGGTCAGGGGGCGAGGCAGGCAGATCACTTGAGGACAGGAGTTTGAGACCAGCCTGACCACCATGGCAAAACCCAGTTTCTACTAAAAATTTAAAAATCAGCCAGGCGTGGTGGTGGATGCCTGTAATACCAGCTACCAGGGAGGCTGAGGCATAAGAATCACCTGAACCCAGGAGACAAGAGGTTACAGTGAGCCAAGATGGTGCCACTGCACTCCAGCCCGGGCGACAGAGCGAGACTCCATCTCAAAAAAGAAAAAAGGAAACTGAATAAATGACATTTTCCAATGTCTTCCCAGTGTTCTCTACAAACAACACATTCATTCCCATTCCAAAATCAACTCATGCATTTCCCCCTAAACTGACCTGCCCTACACTTCAAAGTCCTACCTGAGATGCAAGATTTAACTGAGTGTCCCCAACTGCTACAACTTCCAATAACTGATTTTGATGGGACCACATTGCATGTCAGCACTTTATAGTTCAGCATACCATTTTTTTTCTGATAATTGTCTCATCAGTTTTTTATTGTTTTTGTTTTGAAACAGGGTCTCAGTCTGTCTTCCAGGCTGGAGTGCAACAGCTTGAACATGGCTCACTGCAGCCTTGACCTCCTGAGCTCATGCAATCCTCCTGCCTCAGCCTCCGGTATAGCTGGGACCGCAGTTGCATGCCACCATGCCTGGCTAATTTTTTAATTTTTTTGTAGAGATGGGATCCCGCTTTGTTGTCTAGGCTGGTCTTGAATTCCTGGGCTTAAGCGATCCTCCTACCTTGGCCTTCCGATATGGTAGGATTACAGCCATGAGCCACGGGACCTGGCCTATGAGATTTTATCTATTTTCATCAACTAAGTAGTAAAATTCTTGAGGAAAAGGAGCACACTTTATACCACTTGTACCATACAGTGATTCGCATATATAGATACTCAGTAAGTATTAACTTATCATATGATTTGACTCACTTGGTTGTTAAGTCCACATCAAATTTAATATGCCTCATTTACCTTTCCTTGGTACATTTCAGTAATGATGACTCGGGTTTGATATAGAGTGACTAAGACAAAAAAGAGGGAGTAGTAGGAAGAGTAAAGGCCCCCGAAGATATCCATGTCCCAATCCCTAGAATCTGTGAATATGTTACCTTACATGGCAAAAGGGACTTTTCAGATGCAATTCTATTAAGGACCCTATAATAGGGAGAGTATCCTAGATTATCTGGGTGTGCCCAGTGTAATCCTAAAAGACCTTAAAACAGAAGAGGGAAGCAGGGCAGGCACAGTGGCTCACACCTGTAATCTCAGCACTTTGGGAGGCTGAGGCAGGTGGATCACTTGAGGCCAGGAATTCAAGGCCAGCCTGGCCAACATGGTGAAACTCCATCTCTTTGTTTGTTTGTTTGTTTTTGAGACAGAATCTCTCCTTGTTGCCCAAGCTGGAGTGCAATAGTGTGATCTTGGCTCACTGCAGCCTCTGCCTCTCAGGTTCAAGCGATTCTCCTGCCTCAGCCTCCTAAGTAACTAGGATTACAGGAATGGGCCATCAGGCCTGGCTAATTTTTTTTTTTTTTTTTGTATCTTTAGTAGAGACGGGGTTTCACCACATTGGCCAGGCTGGTCTCGAAGTCCTGACCTCATAATCTTCCCTCCTCAGCTTCCCAAAGTGCTGGGATTACAGGCGTGAGCCACCACGCCCAGCCCATGGAACATCATCTCTATTAAAAATAAAAGAAACTGGGCCGGGTGCGGTGGATCACCTGAGGTCAGGAGTTTGAGACCAGCCTGGCCAACATGGTAAAGCCCCCATCTCTACTAAAAACACAAAAATTAGCCAGGCATGGTGGCAGATGCCTATCATCTCAGCTACTAGGGAGGCTGAGGCAGGAGAATTGCTTAAACCCGGGAGGTGGAAGTTGTAGTAAGCCAAGGTCGCACCACTGCACTCTAGCCTGAGTGACAGAGTCAGACTCTGTCTCAAAAGAAATAAATAAATAAAACATAAAAGGAAATAGTGGAGCAGGTCAGAGTGATGCAATGTGTGAACTCAATCAGCTGTTGCTGGCTTTGAAGACAGAGAAAGGGGGCCATGAGCCAAGGCAAGGAAACTGATTCCCTCCTGGAACCTATTGAAAGGAGTCCCCTGCCAACACCTTAATCTTACCCCAGCAAGACCCGCGTCAAACACCTGACCTACGGAACTCTTAAGATATTAAATACACTGTTTTCCATCATGAAATTTGTGGCAAACTGTTATAGCAGGAACAGAAAACCATTGCAGAGGACATTTGATATTGATGGCTTAATGGAATTTTCCAAGTATGTCCTGTTACTTCAAAGGATTTGTGATTCATAAATAAAGCTTTAAGAAGAATCAGACTATAATGACACAAATCTTGAGAGCTTGTGAGATACTTTCTAGAACTGTTTTCACTTACATGATGTAATTTTGAGTTCCATTAACCTAGTTGCTGCTGAATATGTTTATTATTCTTTTTATTTTCAAAATGCTCCCCAAACTCTTGCATATCTTGTCTGAGATGTACCAAATACCTAAAGCCACAAGTATAACAGTAATTTTCATTATGACTTAGGAAGAAGACACTAATATTACCAATTCTGCATGTCACTATCTTCAAGGAAGCTGTCTAGTTGTTGCTGAAGAATACGATAATTTTTCTTAAACACTACCTAAAGGTTAATTTATTTTAGTTATATGTACTTAAATAGCTGATTATAACAAAACTCAAGAATCTGGAGAAAATAAAGACAATTTAGTATAATTTCAAGTCCCTAGATATTTAGAAGTTTGTAAAATGATGACATTTTAGATAAGATGATAAGAAAAAGAAGTTTGTAAAATGATGGCAGAACGAGGCCGAAAACATGAATTTTTATAGTATGACAAGTAAAAATTCCAACATGATTCAATTACCAAATTTCAATGCAGTCAGAAGAAGCTTGGTAATTTGCTTTCTATTGAAAAAATCATGAAATATCTCAATCATTCTCTGCATCAGAATCACAATACCCTGATAGCCCCATGTCTCCGGATGTCACTTCCTGGCTAAGGGCAGTTACCACCTGGGCTGTGGGCAGAGCTGCCATACCTGTGTCCTGAAGCCCTGAGTGACCTTCCTAGGCTTCTCCAGCATGCCAGTCTCACCAGTTCCAAGGTAAAGCCAGGAGAAATACTCTATCTCTGTTAGATACTTACTTTTTGAACCCAAACGATGAATTTCCTCCACTAAGAGGTTTACCTCATGATCCACATTCATTGCTGCCTAGGAGAGAAAAAAGAAGTATAAATGATCACCATTACATTCCATTAAGCACATCCAAATCCAAGGGCCCTTTGTCTTGTTCATGTCGCACTTGTCACTATTCATTTACCCTGTCCCTTTTCCTAAAAATATTTGCGTGATGCATGTGACACTGAAGTGTCCTCATTTTCCCTCTACCTTTGTGACCGCCCCCTTAGCTGCCTGCACGCCTGTTCTCCATGTCTGTGGAGGAGAATACAGCCATTCTCCTTGTACCCACGATTCACTGTGAGCAGGTCTTCTTCATGGTACCCTGCTAGGCAAAAATTTTAAAAAGCTGTGTAGCACAGGATCTGCCCTCAGGGAGCTCATCTTCTAAAAGCAGACAAAAGCCTGCGATGAAGAGGAATGTGACAAATACTCTTTGAGTGGTGGGTCCCGGGCATATAGAAGCACAAAGGAGGAAGCAGCAGGAGGCTTCCTGGAGGTCACTGGGGAGAAGTGGACCAGCCAGGCAGGTGAAGGGCACTCTATACTGGAGGAAGTGCATACGCAAAGCAAGGAAGCAAAGGAGAAAACGCAGAGCACACTTGAGGCGGGCCTAAGCTAGGGGCTGGGCACCCCAGGGCAAACTGACACACACTCCCTGCCCTTCGGGAGCCTGTAGTCTAGTGCAGGAGGCAGATCAATACAACTGTAATTCCGTCCCGTCAATGCAATGACATACAGGGGCATCGTGTTCTTCTCTGGGCAGTGCCCAGTAAACCCAGTTGCAATAAATAGCTTTCAGTGAAGATCATTCATCTTCAGATAAGGAGGAGTTCAGAAAGGAATAGAAGCTGAGCCTTATCTTGGCTCACTGAGTCTTCCACGAGCTGGGTTCTGCACACCGTCCCAGCCTCCTCCACTCCACCCACTTGAACTCCAGGTTGTAGCCACATGGGACTTTTTAATCTCTCAAATGCCCCCGTTGTCTCACCTCCAGCCTTCATACAAACCGTGACTTCAACCCAATTAGCTATTCCTTCTTCCAGGGGCTAATTCAAATATATCCTGCCCCAGCTTAAATAGAAGCCTTCCCCGGCCGGGCGAGGGGGCTCACGCCTGTAATCCCAGCTCTTTGGAAGGCTGAGGCAGGCAGATCACAACAGGAGTTCAAGACCAGCCTGGCCAAGATGGTGAAACCCCATCTCTACTAAAAATACAAAAAACAATTAGCTGGGCGTGGTGGTGGGTGCCTGTAATCCCAGCTACTGAGGAGGCTGAGGCAGGGAATTCCTTGAACCCGGGAGGTGGAGGTTGCAGTGAGCCGAGATCACACCACTGCACTCCAGCCTGGGCAACAGAGAAAGACTCTATCTCAAAAAATAAAAAAAATAAAAGCCTTAGCCCTGAAACCCTGGAGGATGAGCTCTCCCTCACTGTGTGTTCCCATAGCACTGTGTACCCCTCCTCATTTCATTCAATTGGAATTACATTTCTGGACTTTCACTGCTACAGGGTAAGCTCTCCTCTGCGGGGATCTGACTGTAATGCTCACTGGTGTATCATGTCTGGAACTAAAAGTAGAGGGTAAAGAAATATTAACCTCATGAACTACACATAAAGGCATAAGAGGGATTGGAAGTATACCTGCAGGATGTCAGAAAGAATGAGCAACTGGGTAGAAGACACATAGGTTCATTCTGTTTTCAAATCGTACATTTTTCAAATCAACTAAAGGACCAAAGAGGTAAGAGTTGTACATATGGTTTCCTTTGGCACGATAATTTGGAAGAAACGCCTTTATCCAGATGGATTGTAACTAATCCTTGCTAGCTTTTAAAAACAAGAGTGACACCTATGACTACATATCACCTGCTTACAGGATATTGATTGGGACACTAGATCTTCTATCTGCTAATTATTAAAAGTGCCACTACCATCTGCTCTGTTGCTCGTGTGAATATTCTAATTTAAGAAGCTTGCATTGCAATAAAATGCAAAATATTCAATTAAAGGCATCTTCATAAAAATATGAAAATTTATAGTGTTCAAATATTGCGGACTCTATGCTGGTGAAGTCATATGATTAACTGCATATAATCTATAACATTATATGCAATTCAAGACATAGTTTAAGAGAGATCTAAAAAGCTAGAATACCCTCAGAGTACACAGCCACAATGCTGAAGGCCTGAACACCATGCCATGAGAATAATAGTCGGAAAAAACTGTTAACAGCAGAGCAGGGGGCAACTGTTGTTTTGTCTGCCTGGCACTCATTCCCCATTTGGCACCAGCAGTCCAAGTCTTGTCTGGATAAGGCCTTTCCCTCCTTACGCTAAACCCACGTATCCTGGGTAAAGACTTCTCCTGGGCTCCAGAAGCAGCTCAGGGCCAGAATGATTGGTTGCGGCATGAGGTAGCTAAGCCCATCCAGAACAATGAGGTTCAGGCCTGTGATTTTGCTACAACTATTATAAAATGACACTCTCCTTCCACTGGGTTCTAAGATATTCGTTTATGGCCCCTGATGTCAATGGCCACCATGTGGGAAGAGCTTGCCAGGAATAAAGCTAACACAAAGAAACGTCCAGCCATACAACAATGACTTGAGCCCATATATGACCCTTTCCAGCTACATGAACCAACATCTTTCCTCTTTTTGCTTGTGTTGGTTTGATTAAATTTCTATTACTTGCACTCTAAAGAATCTTGATCTATAAAGTTAGAGAAGAACTGCTGCTTTAAAAACAAAACAAAAAACTAAAGCTCTTTTTTACGTACTTCTATGAATAATCTTTCTTTGTGTTACTCTACTGGGTCGGATGTTAATAGAAAGGCAGATTTGAGAGCCATATAAAAAAGTTCTCTAGCAATCAAAATTGCCTAACAATGAATAAAGTTTGCAGTCTTTTCCTAGAAACATTACTGCAGAAGTAGTAAGGATCTGTGAGGGATGAGGAGGAAATTAGCTTGTGCTGGACAGAGGGAGAATGAATATGTCCAAAGAAATTAAGGACCTCTCCAATTCTCTGATTTTTGAACCCCTGGAAAGATGTACCTCTTTAACACCTTTCTTCATTCCTTCTCCCATCACCAGCAACACACTTCAGACTTAGCTCTCATTGAATAATGAGAATCCACAGGGAAATCCATCTATTACATATAGCATGCATACTTGCATTATACTAAGCAGACGTACATTCATCTAATTTTAAGCACGGAAGGCACCCAGCATTTCTTTATAATTAATTACATATCAGGTTCCTTAGCCATGTTAATTCATGTAATTCTAAGAACCTTGCAAATTCTAAGAACCTTGGCATTTATTTATCCCCATTTTAAGAACAATGTAACAGGGGTTAATACCTCAGAATTAAACGCTGTTTCTACCACATCTTGCTGGCTCTTCTTTCCCCCCTTCCTCTTCCTCTTTTGCCATTACACAAATATGCTAAATATAATAGTGAGTGGTATTTGTATGAAATGTGACATGCTGAGCTCTTAGAAACGCAAAACACTTACAAAGCAAGAAAGGCTCCCTGCCCAGAACACTATAAATAGGAAAATAACAGGTTTAGAAACAATTGCTGGCATAATTTGACGTTTTATTTATTTTTTAGGAGAGAGAGGGACTATCGGGGAAAAAAAATATCGATTGTGACACAATCCTTGAAAGACACGTGGCCTTTTAGGATAAGGACAGAATCCCAGGACTGCAGTAAGCAAGATGAAGAACAATGAAGGGGGCAGAGGGATGAAGGAAGGTTGACGGGTACAAATACACAGAATAAATAAGACCCGGTGCTGCCCTGATCAGTGGGGTGACTACAGTTCACATTAATGGACCGTACACTTCCAAATGGCTGGAAGCAAGTAAGCTGACTGTTCCTAGCATAAAGAAGAGATAAATGTTTAAAGTCATGGATATCCCAAATACCCTGATTTGATTATATGAATATAACAAATTCTCACGTGTATCATGAAACTATGTCTAGCTAGGAAAAAAAAAAAAGAACAATGAGAAGGGGTGAGAAGCAGAACAAGTCTAAGGGTAAATGCTTATGGGTGAGTGGCTGGACCAGAAGCCAGGAAAAGGCTCCAGGGAAGGCGAGGCAAATGCCGGCCCGCACTCTAATTGTCGAAGAATCGATTTAGGCTTTGTGCATGGGAATCACAAAGGAAGCAGGATGTCTCAAGACTGGGCAGAACCCGAAACCCGCCAACTATACACACTTTAGAACGTATTTAAAGACCCTCAGGGCATTGTTATTTTTCAAAAGTTTGGAGGCAATGCATGGAGGTTTTCGAATGTCCAAGGAAGTAAAGCCTACTGGAACGGGCATGTGCGGGATCAGGAACCAACTTCACACACTCAGGCTGGGCACGTTTTCCCAGCCCGCCTTCAATTGCGGACAGGCAGCCGGCGCGGGTCAAAGGACGACAGGGCTCCTTCCTCCCTCCGGGCTGGCGCGCGCTCACTCCGTATCTAGCCATCCTGCTCCCAGATTGGGGTTCTCCTGGTAGAGGGCCCCAACGCTCCTGCCCTGCAGCCCGACATCACACGGTCACCGCCGGCACCGGTGCAGGGCTGTGGGGCGCGGGGCTGAGGAGCGCCTGGCTGAGCCCCCAGTTGCGGGGCGGCACCGCCAGCGCCCGGGAAGGGCCGCGTCCCGGAAGCCTTTGTCTCCGCAGCTCCCGGCCCGGCGCCGCGAGTCCGCCTCCTCCACGAGACCCGGGCGTCCCGGCGCGAGCGCCCAAACCCGGCGAAGAAAACGGACCCTGCGCCGGGCTCCACGAGGCCCTGGAGTCAGGCACGACTCCGCAACCCCTGACCTGGAGCGCACAGAGCCGCACCCACCTCCCGCGCGGCAGAGTCCCCCGCCCCGAGGCCACCGCGTTCCTCGGGGCAGCCTCTCCCCTCGCCCTCAGCCCGTCCCCACCCCGCTCCGCAGAACTGGCTCCTGAACCACCGCCAAGTGCAAAGCCGACACGTCTCGCCGCGGTAAAAATCGTTCCATTTCTGCCGGCTTCCCAGTCCGCCCCCGGCCGGCGAAACGTCACGTGAGCCGAGTGCGGAAGTCGGCCCGAGAGGCGTGGGCGTGGGCGGCGCGCGCCCCCCGGTACCCCAGCCCGCGCGGTCCCTGCCCCGCTGGTCGCAGGCTCTGCGCGTCCCCCCGGACCCCCACCCCGGGCCCGGCTCCCACGCAGCCCGCGGTCTCCGGCGGCTGCACCCCGGACACCCACCCCGTCCATCCCTGCTGCCCAAGCTGCGTCTGCCCGGCGCTCACGCACCTCTCTGCCCGGCTTTCCTTCCTGCGGGAGAACTGGCGCCGCTGGGTTCGGACCCGGCTCCCTTCTTCAGTACACTGGGGAGGGTGAGGCCAAGGAAGGAAGTGGCTGAGCTAAGAGAAAGACCGCTGTGGGGGAGGAGCAGGGTAGGGGGAACAGTAAGAGTTTCTGCGCTCAAGAAAGGGGCCGCCCACACTCCCAGGGACAAGCCTATGAGGAGGAAACTCAGGGGAGGAGACGTCCGGGAAAGGGGCTGACTCCAGACAGGTGGCGCGGCGCCCCAGGCTTCCAGGTAAACGGGCCCAGAGCCTCGGTTACCCCACCTTTCCACCGTGCTACCAGAGCCAAGGGTCCCCAGGACCTGCATCGGATTCCGGGCGTCTATTTCCTGCAGAATTTCGCTCCCAACGTAAGAAACAGAGCCCCCAAATTGCTGAAGGCTGGGGTCTCCTAGAAAGAACGGGGGGCATTCAGGGGTTCCGGATGCCCGGGGCCTCTAGAAAACTACGACTCATGACTTGAAAATGGTTTAATTCGCAAAACTAAATGCAATCTTGAAAGCCAGTTTATTCGATTGCGAAAAAATTTCACTTGCACATAGCTAGTTGTTGACCCTGGGTCAGCATGTTTCTTCCCTTGTTCATTATTTCCTACATTTAACTTCATAATTCAGTCAATTTATTCATACTCCCTTTGTTTTAATCACTGTTATTTTAATACATTCCTGTATGAGAGAGAGATGCTTAGCGTACCCAGAGTCCCTTTGGAAAGGAAACAGTTACCCAAACTATTTCTAGAGCAAGAGTTGCACAAATAACTACAAAAAAACGTTCCTTACCCCCTCCTCACCCCCAGCCCAGCTCATTGAATTAAGACGTGACCCAAGAGCCACAATCTTGGAGGTAGTCATCATCCTGTGAGGTGACCGGGAACAAACAATTCTCATCAAACACGGACTCTGATCATTAGCCAGCCAGACTCTCCCTTGGAAATGGAACAGTGGAGAATGCCGAGGCGGAGCCATCTGATATGATAGAAAGGTGGGAGCTAAGAGAGGGCAAGGCAGAGGGGCCAAAATGGGCTTCGGGATGCAAAACATCTGAGTAAGCAGAAACCGGCAGAATGTAGCAGCAGGTTGGGTGGAGGCACAAGTGGTAGAAGCTAGTTAAAGACAGGCTGAGACCCAGTGGTGGAAGGAGAGCAACAAAGACTTGCTTCCCAGGGGCATGTGAGTGTCCAGTTCCCTGGCTGCACTGGATCCATCCACTTCCCACGCTGCGTTCCAGTGAACAGTGAACACCTGTGTGACTGAATGAGTCTCTGTTCTGTTATCTTCAACAAAGGTCTGATTCTTCTAAGTGTCTCATGGCAGATAAAGTTTAAGGTGACTCCAAGACCTTTTAAGGCCTTTTTTTTTTTTTTTTTTTTTTTTTTTTTTTTGAGAGGGAGTTTCGCTCTTGTTACCCAGGCTGGAGTGCAATGGTGCGATCTCGGCTCACCGCAACCTCCGCCTCCTGAGTTCAGGCAATTCTCCTGCCTCAGCCTCCTGAGTAGCTGGGATTACAGGCACGCACCACCATGCCCAGCTAATTTTTTGTATTTTTAGTGGAGACGGGGTTTCACCATGTTGACCAGGATGGTATCGATCTCTTGACCTTGTGATCCACCCACCTCGGCCTCCCAAAGTGCTGGGATTACAGGCTTGAGCCACCGCGCCCGGCCTAAGGCCTATTTTTTTTAAATTTTACTTGTTACCAAAAGGATCGAGGTCCTTTTTTTTCTCACCAAAAGGAGACTGAGAAATTCTAGTTTATATCTTTCGAAGTCGACATAATGCAAAAAAATTATAATTCAAGAAAAATATATTTCGCAATTATCCAAGTAGGACCTAGCTATTTGGGCCTGTGACAGAGATCACAATTCATCAGTCAGATGATAGGACTAATGAGTCTGTATTGTACCACTTCTGTTATGATTAAGCAATTAGTATTGCTCTAACTGCCAACCAAAGAAGAAGAAATAGGTTATTTTACCTAAAGAAGTAAACATCCTTGTTAATATAAACTCACCCAAAAAGTACTTTGTATACACATATGCTAAACTAAGTCTAACACAAGCTTTATGTTCATCTATAAGGAATTACAATTTAAGAAAGCTGTTTTAATAAAAGAAATATTGGCTGGGCGTGGTGGCACACATCTATAATCCTAGTACTTTGGGAGGCCAAGGTGGGTGGCTCACCTGAGGTCAGGAGTTTGAGACCAGGCTGGCCAACATGGCGAAACCCTGTCTTTACTAAAATTACAGAAGTTAGCCAGCGTGGTGGCACATGCCTGTAATCCCCACCACTCAGGAGGCTGAGGAGGGAGAATTGCTTGAAGCCAGGAGGTGGCAGTTGCAGTGAGTTGAGGTTGCAGTGAGCCGAGGTTGCAGTGAGCCGAGATTGTGCCACTGCACTCCAGCCTGTGCAACAGGAGTGAGACTCCATCTCAAAAATAAAAATAAAAGAAATATTAAAAAATTTTAACTGTTTTTCATATCCAATCCTATTCCTTTGATTTCCATACAGACATTTGTTATATTTTCTTATTCTCTGAGGAATATCATCATGTACAATGTAAGCAATGTGGACATTTAACCTAAAAAGAAAATAATAAAATGTGTCAAATTAGAGAATATTTAATATCTTTTAAATAAATGTGCCAGTCACAAAGTGCCAATACTAGATGGTGCAAAGTAGCCCTGACATGTTCTTTGTCAAACAGAATTGAAAGTAATGTACATTTGAAATATTAAGACAATCCTTATCCATGAATTTGATTGCATAGTATGGACCAGCACTGTCCAAAAGAAATAAAATTATGAACAACACATCCAATTTAAAATTTTCTAGTAGCCACATTTTTTTAAAAAACAGGTGAGATTTATTTTAATAATATGTTTTATTTCACCTAGTATATCCAAAGTACTATCATTTCAACCTGAAATGGATATTTTAAAATTATTAATAAGATATTGTACATTTTTTATTTCACACTAAATCTTGTAAGTCTATTCTGTATTTTACATTTACCCCACATTTCAGGTATTCGATAGCCTTCTATGGCATGTGGCTAATATGTTAGACAGTGTAGCTATAGACAATTCCAGCATAAAAGCATTATATTATATGCTAATACTTTTACTTAAAAATGTATTCCATGTTCCTGGAATGAGAAAAATAACACTATGACATTTAAAGGCCTATGGAAAATCTAAGTCATTATTTTTAAAATGTAGTCATCTATTGTAATGAATAGAAAAAAACTCTTCTATTTTCTCTTATCCTGAAGAATCTCTAGGATGGCAACTCTATCATGGGTACATACCCAACAGAAAAATGAGATATATTCACCAAGAGACATGTACCAAATATTCACAGCAGCACTGACTGTGCGTAATAGCATAATATTTCTTTCTTCTTTTCTTTCTTTTTTTTGAAACGAAGTTTTGCTCTTGTTGCCCAGGCTGGAGTGCAGTGGCATGATCTCTGCTCACTGCAGCCTCAGGCTCCCGGGTTCAAACGATTCTCCTGCCTCAGCCTCCCGAGTAGTTGGGATTACAGGCATGCACCACCATGTCCAGCTATTCTTTGTATTTTTAGTAGATTCTTCGTACTCTTTGTATTTTTAGTTTTGCCACGTTGGTCAGGCTGGTCTCGAACTCCTGACCTCAGGTGATCCACCCACCTTGGCCTCCCAGAGTGCTGGGATTACAAGGCGTGAGCCACCTCGCCCAAATGTGCATAATATTTGTAAAATACAGTGACTCAATCCCCAAATAACATCAGAATAAATTGATAAATGCAGTATATTCATATAATGGGCTGTTATCTACCAAGGAGAACAAACAACTAACAGCTGGACACACATGATGAATTTCACAAATACAGTGTTGAGCGAAGTGAGCCTGACTATTATTACTTTACACAAAGTTTTAAAAGCAGGTTAAACTGGCTGGGTGTGGTGGCTCTCACCTGTAATCCCAGCACTTTGGGAGGCCAAGGCGGGCAATCACAAGGTCAGGAATTTGAGACCAGCCTGGCCAACATGGTGAAACTCCGTCTCTACTACAAATAAAAAATTAGCTGGGCATGGTGGCGGGCACCTGCAACCCCAGCTACTCGGGAGACTGAGGCAGGAGAATGGTTTGAACCCAAGAGGTGGAGGTTGCAGTGAGCTGAGTTTGCGCCGTTGTACTCCATCCTGGGGGACAGGGCAAGACTGTCTCAAAAAAAAGAAAAAGAAAAAAGCAGGTTAGACTAATCAGCAGTGTTGGTAGTTAGGATAGTGGTTATTCTTGTTGAGTAGTGAAGGGTAGTGACTGAGAGGGGGCACAATAGTGGCCTTATGAGGGGCTGATAATGTTCTGCTTTTCGACCTGTGTACTGGTTACACTAGTGTTTTATTTTTAAGAAATCATTAAGCCAAATACTTTTGATAAATATACATGTACATGTATATATGTGTGTGTACACATGTACATGTATATTTATTCCTGTTGATGTGTTCTTTTTAAAACACTTTTTAAAATAAAGTGTAGTTCTTGGGCTATTATGCTTAAGAAATATAGAAAATAAAAATGAAGAACAGAATATCATGATCAAACAAGGCATATTCCAGGAATGTAGGGATTACTCAACAACACTGAGAAATGTAATAATCCCAGATGGCCTTATCTCCAACTTTTATCTTATTCCTTAAAATGAGGTTTCTCATTTGGACTTATTCTAGTTCAGAATATCATCACCTTGGGCTCTCATTAATATTTATGATGATAGCGATAATAATGATGTTTACATGTCTTGGGCACTAGTTCTTGATCCAATTGTAGTATGACTTGAGTGCTTTGGATGATACATAGAAGTAAAAGTAAACTCTGTGCCCATAAGAAATAATGTAAAAAGAATTATACACCGTGAGCAAGTGGGATTTATCCCAGGAATGCACAGTTGGTTCAACTTACAAAAATTAATGTTAAATCATTAGTCATATTAATATATATAAATAAAATAAATAGAAAAATCCACATAATCATTTTATTAGATCCTGAAAAAGCATTTGACAAAATTCATTATCCTTTCATGATTAACTGGGAATAGAAGGGAACTAGAAATGGAAGGGAATTTCCTCAACCTAATGAAGGGCTGCTACAAA